TCTCAGCCTACTTTCCAAAACCTCTTAATCACAGGTCTGCCATAATGAGAAAAGTAGGGAGTTAGAAGTCTCCATCTGGAACTGTTTGATGCAAGAATACCCTACCACAGCTGATGTCACTGCTATCACTGTCCCTTGATTCCACAAAGCTAGTGACTAGATACTAGATTGCTGCTGTAGATAAGTCCAAAGTCTTCACAGCTGTTCCAGCCAGCCATAAAAACGAACAGCAGGAAAACAGCCCTGCCTCACATTCCCTTTTAAACTGCAACAAGTGCACCTAATTGACAGAACTTTTGCACACAGCACTTTTACTAGAAATGTAATTTCTGGGGGCTGGGGTTGTGGCTCAGCGGTAGAGCACTCACCTGGCACCTGAGAGGCCCTGGGTTCCATCCTCGGCACCACATATAAATAAATAAAACAAGTGTACTGTGTCCAACTACAAATAAAAAATAAATATACATAAAAAAAGAAATGTAGTTTCTGGCATTCTAACTCCTACAAAATGGAAACGTTCCCCAGATAGGTGGAATAGAGGACAAAGGCTAACCTACACAATTACTACAGTACAGATGTACAAAAGGGCAGTGTTCTGTATAACATCCATAGGAGGATGAGGAGTAGCTATAATGACCTGGGATGGTCAGTGTGTTATGGTTCTCCAGAGAAATAGAACCAGTAGATCAGATATAGATACTTAAGAGAGTATTTGTTACAGAAATTGCTTCCAGTGATTGGGGAGGCAGAGAAGTCCTATGATATGCCATCTGCAAGTTGGAGAACCAAGGAAAATTATTATTTCTGAGTCTGAAGACTTGAGAACTTGAGGATGTGAGGCACTGGGGTAAGTCCCAGAATCTGAAAGTTCAAGAATCTATAATTCTGATTCTTCTCTGGGCAGAAGATGACAGATGTCCCAGTTCCAGAAGAGCCACTCCCTTCTCTGCCTTTTTGTTCTATCCAGGCCCTCAACAAATTAGATGATGCCAGCCCACACTGATGAAGGCAGATCTTTACTCAGTCTACTGATTCAAGTGTTAACTTCTTCTAGAAACACCTCACAGACACACCCAGAAATAATACTTTACCAGCTATCTGGGGATCCCAGTCAACACCTAAAATTAAATATCAGAATTAATTAACTGGAAAAGCATTGAATGTATGACATAACTGGTTTGTTTGTTTTATTTTGAAGGAAAGAGGGCATTTCTCTTACCTAATTTATACCTAGCTTTATTTCACAAAGAATTGGAGGAAAAGAAAAGAGATGAAGTGATGATAGAAAAGGCAGGAGGTATTATAGTCAGCATCAAACTACATACTGTGAAATAAAAAGATACGGATTGTTTTGCCTAGTTGAACATTTGGTATATAGGTATGGATGATGACAGAGGGTTGTGACTCATATAATGAAAGGTTCAGATTTGATATGAGACACCCACTCAGAAGTCCTGACATTTTTGAGCAGCAGAATAAAAATGAGAGAATAACTATCAAAACAAAATCTTATATGAGCATTTTAGAAAATAAGGAATCCAGCTGAGTCATTGACTTGGGATGAGACAAAATATGAAACTTTTCTGGCAAATAAAGAATCCAAATTTTATATACCTTTACAGTTGTAGATTCCAATTTGAATAGTGTGATCTCCTGTGCTAAAGAATATAAAGTGCTTTAAAATAATGGTTACAGTCCACATTCTATAACATCTCAGTGTATAAATTTTTATTTTTTCCCCCCAAAGGGGACACTTACAGACAAGTCCTGTAACAAACAACCCTAGTTTTCCCTTTGCGCATGTTGTCCACTTCCAATATTGTAAGTTGCTTTTAAAAGCGTTCTTGATTTTCATCTTCTCACATCTGCATCAACAAACTCCCTTCTTAATATATGACTCCATTTTACTAGAAATAGTTGATTAAGAGTACTTGAGGTTTCATGTCTTCAGACAAGCTTCTGCTTGCTGAAGTTAAGAAGTATAGGTCCTAAACATATCTAAATCTTATTTTAAAAGAATATAGGATGGGGGCTGGGGTTGTTGCTAAGTGGTAGATCACTTGCCTTGCATGTGTGAGGCACTGGGTTCAATTCTCAGCACCGTGTATAAACAAATGAATAAAATAAAGGTCTATTAACAACTAAAAGGAAAAAAAAAAGAATATAGGATGCTCAGAAAGACCCTATCTCTAAATAAAATATTAAAAAGGGCTGGGGCGGGGGTGGCTTAGTGCTTAAGCATACCTGAATTCAATCCCTGGTACAAAAAAAAAAAAAGAGTAAAAAAATATAGGATATTCATGTTAATTAATCAATGCTATGTAAAAGACACAAGAATAAATTATAGGCTCAAATCCCCAATGTTTATGGAAGCATTCTTCAAATACGCAGAAATATATAGATGTTTAGCATGTTATAAGGATTAAATCTTATTTTTACATTTACATATTATATTTTATATATTTTACACATCTGTATTGTATGCTCCAATCAAACTGATTCTGAACTAGTTTTCTTGGATGAATGGTAGTGGACAAATAACATTATGTATGCCCCCAACCATATCTATACATGATAGTTCCACTAAAATGTAGTTGATGTTAAATTTTAATGAACTGTCCATAATGAAAAGTTTTATTTTATTTTTTTCCACTGAGAATTTAACCCCAGTACTTTACCTCTAAGCTACATCCTTTACCATTTTTATTTTGAGATAGGGTCTCACTAAGTTTCTTAAGCTGGTCTTGAACTTGTGATCCTCCTGTCTCAGCCTCCCAAGTGTGCCACAGTGCCTGGCTAATTTTGCCCTTTCTGAAGATTATCAAAATACTCAAGGAGCCATGTTGCTTATGACCTAATAATAATAATAAATCCATTACATTTTAAATTTTCGTATAGATTTGATTAATTATTATAGAGAATTTATATTTTCCCCACTAAGGAGGAGAGATGCAAAAAATAGCATGTTAGAACCAAGACCAAGTGTCATGAAGGAGTGTCATAAAGATCTATTTCAACAAAAATCTTAAGGAAAATGAACAAAATGTCCACAGAACACAAATACTGAATACTTACTAAATCAATATTTCTTAATTTCCTAAATACACTCCATTGTTGTTTATATATGGTTTGAATGTGACCCTCAAGTTTTCAAGCTTGATCCCCAGTGTGGTGATGTCAAGGTGGTGGGACCCAGGAGATCCTTAGGTCAATTGGGATGTGCCCACAGAAGGGATTAACATACTGCTTGTGAGACCCCAGCCACTCTGGCTTCCTATTTTGCCGTGTGATCTTTTTCTTCCACACATGCGTGTGCTCCCTGACGACACAGACAGGGGTCCCTCACAAGAGCCAGTTCCATGCTGTTTAGAGTTTCAGCCTCCAAAACTCTTGAGTTAAATAAAACTCTTCTCTTCACAAATTATCCAAACTCAGGTATTTCTTTATAGCAATGGAAAACTAATACAGGTTCATATTCATGTGTAGTTAAATAATTTTATAATTCATTCATTGAAGCCTGTCTGAGCTTAGAGAAGTCTAAGAGAGGCAGAGAGCTTAGTTCTAGTGGTTATGCAGAGGATGATCACCAAAAGTGCTCTTCTTAGTTCAGGAATGTCTTAGGAATTTTTATGTATCCATAAATCTTCTTTATATCAATCCACTTGCTTTTTATCTTCTTGATTAATGTCCATGGAAGACTTACATATGTCAAGGTCTAAACATATTTGATTAGGAAATGTACTAAATAACAAATGTCCCATTAAATGGTGAAAATCCAGGTCTCTGAAGTTTTACCAAAACTCCTAAAAGAGACAGCCTCTTGAGTGAAGTAAAGTCACTTATAATGCACTTAAGTCTTGTTTGTTTCATTTATTGTCCAATATACAGAGCCTAGCAGACTATACCAGATAATCAATACTGATTAAATGAATGAAATCATCAGATACTCTTAATTGTACTTCTAATTGATTAATCAGTGTTTGTTAACTAAGAGCTCACTGTCCTGTCCTGTTAGGAAATTATCACTCATTATTATTAATTGCTATTATGAAGTCTTTTCATTTGTTATTCAGTAGCAGAAGATGGCTTAGGACTGATCCTCTGAGTTAAATAACAGATATTATATTTGGACACACAGTAAGTCCCAGCAACTGACATCAAAGAAAAAAAATGCTGAACATAATTCAGTTCAATCAAAACACCAAATATGAACATGGCTCCATGGTATAAGCACTGTACATAAAGTCTCAACCTATAGTTTTCCAAAAATTCCACAAGTAATGTAAAATGAAAGTCTTTAAACTATTATTGCACTAGAAAAAGCCACAAGCTTTGTGTGACATTTTTCTGAAAACCTGTCTATAAGTTATTCTTTTAAAATTATCCATGTTAATTTGGGTTCTGTAAGAAACAGATGGCAAGATAGGATTTCATCTGAAAGAGTTTTATTGAAGGAGACATCTGTGAACTATAAAGAGGAAGAGTAGGCATGGTCTGACACCAGTGAAAAGGAGAGTAAAAGAATGGAGAATTGGGTGAAATCTCAGAGAATAGCACAGTCTAAAGAAAATTCTGGGTGAGTTAATGGAGTCCTTCATCCAATGCTACCCATTATCGGGGGTTTGGATGCAGCATTAATAACCCTGCCATACTCATTCATTGACTGGAAAAGTAAGAACACAGTGGCAGATCCCATGGAGATAGCAGCTGAGGTCTGAGTCCACTCTGCTTCCCACAGGACGATGTTTGAGTGATACATTTCCTAGGGCTGTCATATCTTTGTAAGTACCAAAGTCTTCAAGTTTTTTCATTAATATTTGGTGGATACAAAGACCATAAATCATGCCACCAATTTTACCTGTACTATTTGATTACCATTATGAAACACATTATTAAGAGAGGCTAAGATTTCTATTATCTTAATATGATTTTGATTGTTTATGTATATTTGCTTTAAAAAGTATTTGAATTGTCTTTATCACATATCATGATAATTAATATAGAACACAAGCAATATTTTATTGATATTTTACAATACAAAATCATTTAACATACCAGTTTGGAATGTTAACTTAGTAAACCCTCACTAACTTGGACTAATTAGAGTTTGAATAAATTATATTTTAAAATAAATGTGGTTATTATTTGGTACTACACACAGTAATTGCAAGTAGAACAAATATTGACTCAGAGATGACAAATGATATAAAGACAAAATGACTAATGCTAATTAGCAGACTAGTTTGTGGAGAGAATATATGTTTTAAAGTTCATTCTCTTAGCTGGGTGTGGTGGTACACATCTGTAATCCCAACTATTCAGGAGGCTGAGGCAAGAGGATAGCCAAATTCAAGGCTAGCCAGGGCAATTTAGAGTGACCCTGTCTCAACACAACAACAAAAAGAACTGGGGATGTAGCTCAGTGGTAGAGCACTTCCAGATTAATTCCCCAGGATCACATACATACTCAGTTCAATGGTAACATGTCCCTGGGTTCAATCACAGTGTCTGTCTGTCTCTCTCTCTCCCCCGCCCCACAACACACACATAGCTTATTCTCTTAAAATCTCCCTACAATCCTCTGAAGTACTACTGAACTATATAATACAAATAACTCATATAACATATAAGCATTCGGTGCGCAATCTTTCTTCCTAAATAATTCAAGAGTAACCTAGGGGCTGAAGGTCCAACTTCTGCAACTGAGTGAAGCCAGAGGACTAGAGAAGCAAGATGCCTTAGGGGAGTCCAGCAATTTCTGTTCTTCCTTCATTTCAGATCTGCAAATTGCACTTGACTTTTCCTGACCCAGTTATCAGAAGGCCACATGGTAGAAGATTTTCAATCATCAAAACAGACTAAACTGGCCCATTCCATCCCCTACTTTTCTCACATTTGTCTTCTGTACCTGAAATTTGTTTCACAAACTAATATATATTCCAATTCAGTTCACCATGCAAATAATCAGTATTTTTAGCTAATATTTTTTAATGATAATAAAATGATTTTTTATTAATGATTTTATTAATGATAATAAAAATTTTTAATGATAGTAAAACAACTTTAACCCAAATATTTCAAAATTTTCAAATATATCCCCCAGGAACTTAGAAAAATATTCATCATTTAATGATAGCTAACACTTAGGAGATATGTCCTATGAATTGTTCTGCACTATCATGGTTAATTTTGTGCCAATTTGAGTATATCACAGGTGCCCAAATTAAAGATCATTTCTGGATGGGTCAATAAGGGTGTTTTTGAATGAGATTGACGTTTAGTTGCTTTTGCATGTGGGTTTTTTGTTGTTTTTGTTGTTGTTTTTGTGCTAGGGATTGAACCCAGGGACTATGTGCATGGGAGGCAAGCACTCTACCAACTAAGCCGTATCCCCAGCCCCCTCTTACTTGTTTTTTGAGAGGAGGTCTTGTTGCCTAGGCTGGTCTTGACATATGGACTCCGCTGATTCTACTACCTCAGCCTCCTAAAATAGCTAGGATTATAGTGTTTGCCATCACACCTAGTTTGAGGTTAACATTTGAACTAGTAGACTCAGTAAACTCCTTCCCAATGTGGCTGGGCATCATCCAATTTGCTGAGGTTCTGAATAGGACAAAATACAGAGAAAGAAGGAATTCACCCCTTTTTTTCCTGCCTCACTGTGTAAGCTGGTACATCTTATCTCATCTTGCTCTCAGACTGGATTTAAATCAACCACTTCTCAGGCCTCTGGATTTGGACTAAAATGCACTACTGGCTTTCTTAGAGTTCCAACTTGAATGTGGCAGATCATGGAACTTCTTAGTCTCTAGAACTGCATTAGCCAATCTGTCCTAAAAGGTTGATCTGGTTTTTTTTTCTCTATATACGTATGTATCTCCTATTGGTTCTTTTTCTCTGCAAACCCCTAATACAAAAGGATCCACTTATTAATCTTCCCAAATTCCAAAGAAGTTTAATAACTTATTCAAGGTTACATAGTTGGTAAGTAGTGGCTTCAGGATTTGAATCTAAGTGGCTCCAAGCTAAAGATTTTTCTGTCATTACTGTGAGTTTCTCAAACTATAATACATTATTTAATTCACATTTAAAAAGCCACTATTACCGAGTCCATGGCAGCACAGTTGATTTTAAAATTGTTTTATTTACACATACATTGTACAAGCAACTAATTAATTTAAATTGAAAAAAATGAAGTAAAGATTTATAATTATATAATTATGTTTTTATATACCCTAATAAGTTAAAGTTAATTATGAGCTAATATAAAAATATCTTCCCTTTCCTAATTTATAGCAGCATATTTTCATCTAAATCCATTATATATGTATATATGTGTGTGTATATATATGTACATGTGTGTGTGTGTGTGTGTGTGTGTGTGTATTTAGTTAGTTAAACATAGTACAGAAGTTAAAATGATTTAGGTCTGGGATGTTAGCTCAGTGGTAGAGTGCCTGCCTAGTAAGTATGAGGCCCTGGGCGTGATCCCCAGTTCCACCAAAAAGAAAAAAAAAAGAAATTAGATGATTTAAAGGATATAAAAAAAAGAAAATAATCTGAAATAAGTAATTCAGATGTATATATTCAGAAAATGATACTGAAGTTAAAGAATGTAACTTAAAAAAATCAATACAGTGTCCTTTGAAGTTAAATATGTGACTTAAAAATCAATACAACGTCCTTTTCGTTCCCAATCTCCATATCTGGTAGGTTCTGGGCCTCTAGGTCCACCTTTTTCTTTGGTAACTGGATTAACATCATCTGGAAATTCTATGGAAAGAAAGGAGACATAAACAGAGCAGTCAATAGAGATTGGAAAAGCAATATGGTCAGTTTTGAAGATAGGGTTGACCAGGATAGACCTACTGATCAGGTTAGTACAATCTTTAAATAACTGTAAATGCAGTTTGTTCCCTGAGTTGAGAAATTACTTTAGTGTGCAATTTTTGTATTCAATCAACTTTACCACCATTGGTGACTTAGAATTCTTGGAATACTTTTAGTCCTCAGTTCACAAAATGGCTTTGTATGTACTGCTAGACCCAAACAAAAGGAAAGAGGTATAAAGAATAGAGTGCAAATTCACTGGACTTGGAAGATTTTGAAATAAAATTACTTTGAAGGAGTTCCCTCCTGTCTTTCCCTTGTAGTTCTGGGGACTTAACCCAGTGCCTTATACATGGTAGGCAATGCCTCTACTAATGAGCTACATCCCTACACCCTTTTGTTTATTTTGAGATAGGGTCTTGGTAAGTTGCTCAGGTTGGCCTTGAACTTGTGATCCTTCTGCCTCAGTCTCCTGACAGGATTATAGGTGTGTGTCACCATGTGTAGTTTTTGTCTATTTGCTTTCTTGATGATGTCCTTGGATGAAAAAAAAAAAAGTTATTAATTTTGATAAAATTCCAATTTATTTATTTTGCTATCTATATTTTGGTGTCATATTCATGAAATCATTGCCAAGAACAATGTCATGAAGTTCCCCCAATATTCTTTTCCAAGAGTTTTATAATTTTACCTGTTAAGTTTAGGTTTCATACATTTTGAGTTAATTTTTTTTATATGGTAGGTAAAATTCAACTTCATTCATTTGTATGGGGATATTCACCTTTCCTAGCATCATTTATTGAAAAGACTGCCTTTCCCCATTGAAAAGATTTTGGCACCCTTGTCAAAAACCAATTTACCACATATGTGAGAATTTGTTTCTGGGTTTTCTACTTTGTTCTTGTGTGAATTTTTTCTTTTCTTTCTTTTTTTTTTTTAAAGGACATAAATTTATTATTTTACAGTTTTGGAGGTCAGAAATCTGACATAATCTCAATAATTAAAATCAAAATATTAGGAGAGCTGTGCTTTGTCTGAATGCTGGGGGATAACTGTCTTTTTCAGCTTCTAGAGGCTAACCACATCCATTAGCTCATGGCTGCTCCATCTTTTTCTTTCTTTTTTTTTGAGGTGCTGGGGACTGAACTCAAGGCCTTGCTGAGGCTAGGCAAGTGTTCTACCACTAAGCTATAACCCTTAACCCTCTTCCTCCATCTTCAAAGGCAGCAGTGTACCATCTACTAATCTCTAATTATAATGTTTCAAGGTATGGTTTGTGTCCCCCACCCCCCACCGCCCAATGCATGTTGAAATTTATTCCCAATGTAATAGTATTGAGAGGTTGTGAGAACTTTAAAAGATGATTAGGTCATTAAGATAATTAAAGTTCACTAATGGGAGTAATTTAGTTCTCTTGGAACTAGATTCATTACTTACTGTAAGAGCAGATTATTATAAAGTAAGGCTGCCCCTCATTCTTTTTCAGACATGGTTTTCTACTATGAGATGAAACAGGATTGAAAGCAGGAATCAGAAATATGATATGTTAGACAGAGCAGGGGCTTCCATTGTAACAATTCTGTTTCTTATTCCATCATGTCCAAATTCATGTACAAATTAAGCCAGAAAGCATGTGATCAATCATGTGATTGGCACCCAATCAACATTAGATTGAACAACCATTGAGTGTCTCACTTCGACTGGATGCAGAAACTTCCCTCCCTAAAAGTCATCAGCCAATAGCTTTAAAGGTCACTTTTTAGCAATACCACATATATACCTGGACCACAGAAACTTCTGGCAACCCTCTTGTGACCCCTTCATTGTGGGAGTTCTGTTTCCTCACTGTTTCAAAAGTAAGTTCTGTCTCACCCTTGGATATCATTCTTCATATATACAAGACAAAGAATCTACACCTCATTGCATCTCAGCATGAGGCCCTTGCCAGAGGCTAATAGTCTTAGACTATCCAGCCTCCTTAGAACTATGAGTCAAAATACTTTTCTTTATAAATTATCCAGACTCAGGTATTCTGTTATGGCAACACAAAACAGATTAAGACAATGACACCCTTGAATCCTTTTAATGTTAAATTTTATTATTACACTGGGCCCTATATGAAGACCCTTAATTTAATCTTAAGTGATATTTTAAGGAAATATTTTCCCACTTAGTTAAAAACCACTGAAAAGGACTTAATTGCAGATTATAACTACTATTAAAAAGTCTCCACTATCTTAGTTGATTGGTCTGGTTATTAGATTGGGCTTGATAGTGTGCTATAATATGAAATATTCCTCTGGATTAGCAAATAAGAAACGGTTTTATATTCTAGAAAAAGATCTAGACATAGCTATGAATATGTTCTTGCCTAGGATGCAGATTTACATTTATGCTGTTTAAATAATATGTTCCACAATTCAAAGGTAAAAATAAGCACAGAATGAAATATAACAATACTGTAAAAACAGAGCTTTATGGCCAGGCATGATGGTGCACACTTGTTACCCCAGTGACTTGGGAAGCTAAAACAGGAGGCTCAAAAGTTTAAGGCCGGGGGTGCTGGGGTTGTGGCTCAGTGGTAGAGTGCTTGTCTCGCATGTGTGAGTCACTGGGTTTGAGTCTCAGCACCACATATAAATAAATGAATAAAATAAAGATCCATCAACAGCTAAAAAAAAAAAAAAAAAAAAAGTTTAAGGCCAGCCTCAGCAACTTAGTGATACCCTGTCTCAAAACAAAAAGGGCTGGGGATGTAGCTCAGTGGTAAAGCCCCTGGGTTGGATCCCTAGTTCTGAAAAACTAACTAACTAAATAACTAAAACAGAGTTTTATGGCATGAGCCAAATTTTACATATACTAAGTACTAAGTAGGGGTTGAGGATGTTGCTCAGGGGTAGAATGCCCTGGGTTCAATCTCCCAAAACAAACAAAATAATCAAATTACATCCCCTCTCCAATTCTCTTTCTTCTTAAAACTACCCTTCTCTCTCCAGCCACATTGTCACAGTGAGAACCACCACCTAAATGTGTGACCCATCTTACTTGCCATTCTGAGTGATTCAACTATAGACACCTGATTTGAGCTTGGGCAATGAGCTTTCTTTTCAGGGAATTTGCAATTAGGAGTAAGAAATTCTAATCTCAGTTGTGCTGCTCTCTTAAACTGAGTAGTTAACTAGGAGCAGTTACTTTCTGCCCAGTGGACTGAAAAGCTAGTTAAGAGACAAAAAACAATTTTAAACAGTGATGAGACAAGAGAAGAGAGGAAAATACCCTGGTTTTCATATAGTATTTAAAGTACCAAGTTTATAGTCTTTTTCTAAAGTCCAGTATTATCACTGTACTTGAATGCCTCACCCTTATCTGTACCCTGATAATCTACTGCAACTTCTGCTGTTTCAAATTTGAACAGCCAGAAAAATTTCTTAAAATATTGCTCAAGTAGGTTTGTTACATATATCAGAGAAGATCTCAACTTATATATTTTGTCATGTGAATAATGAGGTACAATCAATCAATCAATCAAATGTCAGGGGCTTAGAAACCCTTTTTTTAAAAAAATAGATACACTGATGGTCAATATGGTGATTTTTCTCATTGTTGAAATATGCTTTATTATTGGTAAAAAGTTATGACAATAACATATTTCATTTCTTTCATCTATCTTCTCAATAGCCACATCATGTTTTCTTGATATCTTAAAAATTAAGAGAAAAATTTTACCACACTTACTTTTCAGTGGTTCTTTCTCTAAATGGGAATCCTCTGGTGCATCAAAACGACCTACTGGTAACTTTGGCTTCCTAAGGGGTTGTTTGACAGATTCAGACTTCCCTTCTTGAGAAGAACTCATTTTCCTCAAAGACTGACACAGAATTGGTGATCCTAGCAGAGGGGAGAAAGTAGAAAAATAGGAGCTATTCACATATTCTCCTTTTAAAATTGAATTTTTATATATATTGGTTTATACATTCACCTTTATCCAAGTTCAAAAGGCACAAGAATATATAGAGTGAAAATCCTTGCCTCCAGAAGCTCTAGTTTCTGGACAGTTATTTCCTAACCTTGGAGACAAATAGTATTACTAGTTTTAAAAGAAGAGCTATAAAATACATTAATTAACCATTATCATAACTGCAGAAACTGAAGTAAAACACAGATTCCTGTCTGAAGCAATGTCAACATACCAGGAATTAGACCATTAAGAGTAAATAGTATGGAAAAAAAAAGAGTAAATAGTATGGGAAAAAAAAGAGTAAATAGTATGGAAAAAAACGAGTAAACAGTATGAACTTACCTCAACATCTTAAAGTCCATTTATGACAAACCCAAAGTCAACATTATACTGAATGCAGAAAAACTAAAAGCATTTCCTCTAAAGTCAGAAACAAGATAAAGCTGTCCACTCTCACCACTACTATTCAATACAGCCCTGGAAACAAAGCAATCAGGCAAGAAAAGGAAATTAAAGGGTTACAAATAGGAAAAAGAAGTCCTTAAACTATCTCTGTTTGCCAATGACATGATCCTATATCTAGAAGACCCAAAAAACTTCACGAAGACTTCTGGAGCTTATAAATAACTACAGGAAAGTAGCAGGATACAAGATCTATACCCATAAATCAATAGTTTTTCTATACTCCAAAACTGATTCAGCTGAGGAAGAAATCAGGAAAACCACACCATTCAAAATAACCTCAAAAAAAATATATAAACACACACACACACACGGGAATTAATCTAACCAAGGACATAAAAAAATCTACACTGTAAATTACAGAGCACTAAAGAAAGAAATAGACCTTGGAAGATGGAAAGACCTTCCATGTTCCTGGATAGGCAGAATCAATATCGTCAAAATGGTCACACTACCAAAAGAAATATACAGATTCAATGCAATAATCATCAAAATACCAATGCATTCTTCAGATAAATAGAAAAACAATTCTAATATTCATTTGGAAGAATAAGAGATGCAGAATAGCCAAAGCAATACTAAGCAAGAAAAGTGAAGGAGACATCACAATACCTGATCTGAAATTATACTACAGAGCCACAGTAAAAAACAAACAAACAAACAACAAATAAACAACAACAACAAAAAAAAAACAGCATGGTAATGGCATCAAAATAGATGTGGAGACCAATGGCATAGAATAGAGGACACAGAGACAAATCCACATACCTACAGTCATCTAATATTTGATGAAGATGCCAAAAATATATTTTGGAGAAAATACATCCCCTTAAACCAATGGTCCTGGGAAAACTGAACAGCTATATGTAGAAAAATGAAACTCTCTCTCACCCTTCAAGAAAAGGAAATTAAAAACTCAAATCAAAATGGATCAAAGATTTAGGAATTAGACCAAAAACTTTACAATTTATAGAAGAAAACACAGGGTCAACACTCTTTCATATAGATGTTAGCACCAACTTCCTTAACAAGACCCCAAAAGTGCAAGAAATAAAACCAAGAATCAATAAGTGGGATGTCATCAAGCTAAAAAGCTTCTGCACAACAAAGGAAGTGATTAAGAGTATGAAGAGAAAGCCTACAGAATGGGAGAAAATCTTGGCCAGCTGCTCCTCTGATAGGGAATTAATATCCAGGATATACAAAAAAACTAAAAAAACTTAACACCAAGAAACAAATAACCCAATCAATAAATGTGCAAAAGAACTAAACAAACTTCTCAAAAGAAGAAACACAAATGGCCAACAAATATATAAAAAAAGTTCAACATCTCTAGCAATCAGAGAAATGCAAATCAGAATACACTAAGATTTCATCTCCAGTCAGAATGGTAATGATCAATAATACTAATAATAAATGCTGGTGAGGCAATGGAGGAAAAGATACATTTGTACATTGTTGATGTGACTGCAGACTATTACAATCACTCTGGAAAGCAGTACAGAGATTTCTTAAAAACCTAGAGATGGAACCACCACATGACCCAGTCATCCCACTTCTTGGTATCTTCTCAAAATATCTGATATTGGCATATTTACAGAAATATACCCACCTCAATGTTTATAGCAGCACAATTCACAATAGCTAAATTATGGAATATAACCCAGATACCCATCAGTAGATGAATGGATTAAGACTGTGATATATTTATACAATGGAGCTCTATTCAATCATAAAAAAGAATGAGCAGGGGCTTGGGTTGTGACTCAGGGGTAGAGTGCTTGCCTAGCATGGGTTCGATCCTTAGCACCACATAAAAATAAAATAAAGATATTGTGTTCACCTAAAACTAAAATAATAAATAAATATTAAAAAAAAAAGAATGAGCTGGGCACATGGCTGTAATCCCAGTGGCTCAGGAGACTGACACAGGAGGATCACAAGTTCAAAGCCAGCCTCAGCAAAAGCAAAGCACTAAGCAACTCAGTGAGACTCTCTCGCTAAATAAAATATAAAATAGGGCTGGGGGATGAGGCTCTGTGGTTGAGTGCCCCTGAGTTCAATCCCTGGTACAAAAAAAAAAAAAAAAATGAAATCATGGCATTTCCTGGTAAATGGATGGAAATGGAGAATATTATGCTAAGTGAAATAAGCCAAACTCAGAAATTCAAAGGTCAAATATCTTCTCTCATATGTGAAAACTAAAGTAAAACAAAGGAAAAATGGAGGGAAGAATAAGATAACATAAAGGGGAAATCATTAATGTAGAAGGAGATGAAGAGGCAGAGTGGAGAGAAGGGTTAAGGGGAGGCAATGCAGAAAGAATTCTTTAAACATCTTGTTATACACATATATAAATATACCACAGGGAACTTCACCTTTATGCATAGTAGAAAGAATCAATCAAATGTAAATAAACAGATAGAGAAAAGAAGTCCACTAGAGTAGAGGAAGGAGAATAGGAGAGGGAAGGGAGCACAGAAAGGGAAAGGAGGAGGGTAAAAGGGAGATCATGAACTGAAACTGAATTCCATGCATGTAGTGAGTTTGTCAGGATGAACCCAACTATGTATAACTGCAAGACTCTAATTTTAAAAATTATATATATATGTATATATATGTATATATAAAAATATATATTTTGTGTGTGTGTGTGTGTATATATATATATATATATATATATATATATATATATATATATATAGAAAGAGAGAGAGAGATGGGGTGGGAGTATATTTAAAAGCAAAAAAAGTTGTATAAATTTTTCAAAGAGAATATTTAGTATTTAAATTACTAGAGTTCACAAGGGACTGCATTTAGTTTTCTTACACTTAAATACGTATCAGGGTCCTCCTTCCCTATTAACGGAAAATTTTAAAATGTACTGGGTATCTGTGATGTGTAAATGAAATCACTTTCTCTTTAAGTTTCAATGGGAAAGGTAAACTATCAGCACAATGAGTTATCCAACCCCTTTTTGAGATATGTTCTATAGGCAAAACCACTCTGAAAAAAATGATACAGGTGGGTGGTTTTCAACTTCTTAAAAAAGAATAGCTCTAGGGCATTGGGATTATGGCTCAGTGGTAGAGTGCTTGATTAGCATGTGTGAGGCACTGGGTTCAATCCTCAGCACTGCATAAAAATAAGTAAAATAAAGGTACTTATTTAAACAAAATAGAATAGCTCTAGAGGGAGATGGATTTGGGTACCAGTTCCAGTTATAGCACTGTGACAGGCAGAATAATAATGCCCAAAGATCATCAGAACCCAATACCCAGAACCTTTAAATAAGTACTATGGAGAAGGAAAATTCTGGTGACAAAAGAAAATTAAGGTTGCTAATCAAATGACCTCACACTAGGAAGATTATACTGGTTTATTATCTGGGTGGGTCCATGTAATTACAAAGGTTCTTAAGAACAGAAGAGAGAACTGGAAGATACAAACAGAGAGATAAGAGACTTGGCCTGATGTTGATGGCTTTGAAGGTTCAGAAAGGAGGTGAGTCAGGGAACATGGGCAGCTTCTAGAAAGTAAAAAAGGGAAATAAGTGGATTTCCCTCAAAAGTCTACAGAAAGGACATGGCCCTAACTTAACTTTTGATATCAGCAAAAGGTAACTAATCAACCACTTACTAATTCTGACCCTGGTTAAGTTACACTTTCTGCTTCTTCCATTATGAACAATATCTAGCCATCACTATATAACCATATCTCTTGTTTAAATCACACACTGAGAAAAAATAAACTGAAAGATTTAAAATGTGCACACAAACAATCTGGGGAATCTTTTAAAATTCAGATTTTGAGTAGTTCTTGGCAGGAGCCTGATTCCTCCCCACCCTGAATTATTGGGGATTGAACCCAGGGGTGCTTTACCACTAAGCCTTTTTTTCTTTTGCAATTTTGAGAGAGAGTCTTGCTAAATTGCTCAGGCTGACCTCAAACTTGCAATCTTCCTGCCTCAGCCTCCTGAGTGCTGGGATTATAGATGAGTGCCACTGTACCCAGCAACATCTGCATTTTAAATAAGTTCACAGGTGATACTCATTTATAGTATGTTCAAACAGTTAAGAGGATAACTACAACCACTCATATCAATATGGGCCATTCTTAAAACATAGTGTTGGCTGGAAAAAAACAAACTATATGAAACTATTTTCATAAAAATAAAAAACATGATACACAAAGCATCACACAGGAAGCTCCCTGGCAATGGAAATAGTCTATTTCTTAAACTGGAGAATGGCCTTATAGAAGTTGCTTTTGTTTCATAAATGTTTTATATATTATGTGATGTGTAAATGAAATCACTTTCTCTTTAAGTTTCAATGGGAAAAGGTAAATTATCAGCACAATGAGTTATCCAACCTCTTTTTGAGATAATGTTCTATAGGCAAAACCACAAATATGTGTTTGTGTGTGTGTGTGTGTGTGTTACGAAATACTTTGTAATTAAAACTCAAAAACTAGTGAAAAGAGATAATAAACACAAAATTTTATTATCTTGGGGTCTGGATAATGTGAGACTTTGCATGATATTCGTTTCTGAACCATTTAGGATTTTTACAACTAACAAGTAATACATTTGTGGACTGTGGTTACAGAAAAGTAAAACAAACTGCACAGAAATCAGGCCATTATACTATGCAGGCTATCTCTTTCCAACTTACATAATGTCTCAGAGATGTCATAAATTAAAATTACGTTTTGCATGCTCTGTAATACATTCAGAAAGAGTCGAGGATAGAATGCCCTGGGGATCTGCCAGCTCTAACCTCACCCAAGACACTGGGCTGCGCAGGGACCCGCCCAGGGACACCGAGGGCTGGCTGAGTGAAAAGAGAAGCTCGGCAGTCCCCTGCACGTGGAGACACAGTTTCCTCTGTCGCAGTGCCTGAGTCTTCGCGACCCCTCCCCGCGACCTCGGCTTTGGGGTTGGCGCCTTACTTGCAGCTCTCCATGCGGTGGCAGTGGTGCGGCCAAGCAAGCCCACGAGCCCTGAAGCAGTCATGGCGCCGGCTCTCGAAGCGTCTGCGCAGGCGCAACAGAGGGAGGAATACGCCCCACCGAAGGGGCGGGACTTACACCGGGCGCAGCCTGCACGGGTAACCTTGCTGACAGCTAAAGGTTCCCAAGTGGACTTTCTCACCAAGAATGACCCCAAACTACCCTGAACGCCGTCTTGATTGAAACCCCAAATCAAACTGTAATTGGTGCCTGTTATCCAACCTTCTAACTCCCCTTCCCACAACCTTTCCAGCCTCGGGTAAACACTATTACACATTCCGGTAGACTTTTTTTTTTTTTTCTTTGAAACAAAACAGGTCTTAGTGTTGTATAATACAATAAGGTGACTATAGTTCACAAAATTGTATGGTGTTTTTGTGAACAACTAGAAGAGAGGAATTTGAAGATTCCAAACACCAAGTAAGAAGATGGAAACGTTGATTACCCTGATTTGATTAGTATATATTGTATACTTGTTTTGAAATATCACACCATATTGCATAGATATAATTATTACATGTTACTAAAATTTACTTTTAAAATTTGAGATGAAATTGTTAACTACCCTGATTTGGACATTATGTACACTGTATACATGAATTGAGCTATCACTGTGTACTTCATAAATTTGTACAATTAAAATAATAATAAAATAAAAACATAACTGAATTTTCCCACATCATTAAATATTTTTGAAAATAAATTTTCAAGGATTTTAAATTTTCATTTATGTGAATTTACTACTTAGACTCTATTCCATGGCTGGGATTTCAGTTTTTTGTTATTAAAGAATTCTGAGATTAAAATTTTTATATATGTAAAAAATTTAAAAAACTTTTTATCATTTTTTTTTAATACAGCCAGGCCCGGTGGCACAAACCTGTAATTTCAGCGACTCAGGAGGTTGAGGCAGGAAGATCGCAAGTTCCAGACCAGCCTCAGGAACTTAGCAAGGCCCTAAACAACTTAACCAGACCCTGTCTCATAATAAAAAAATAAAAAGGTCTTAGGATGTGGCTTCCCTGGGCTATATCCCCAGTACTCTCTATCTCCCCTGAAAAAAGGAAAAAAAATTCATGGCTGAAGTTAGGTGAGGGACTAATTCCATTAATTTCTCTCAGTCTGAGGCAAAAGTTATCTCAGAAGATCCTTTTATAGTATACAGAGATTGAGGACCCTTTATAGTACTCTTTGCTTCTTTTAACTCATTCTCTCTCTTATTTTAAATCTCTCTGATTTAATGAACTTCTAGCTGATTTGTTCTCATCTGTTTTCCAGATGACCTGAAAGATGACATTTTTTAGTAAGGTGCAGAGCAAGAAACTACATATGGTCTAGCCTACAGTGCAAGGTCTGCCAATTGACAGCAACTGCATTGGTGCTCAGAACATTTTGTGGCAGATGAGATGCTTTATGTTACTTGTAAGACTGTGGGAAGTCTTTGAAGAATCACACACAATAGAAGCCCCTAGAATTCTGGAATTTTGTATTTTTTTCTAAAAAGAATTCCTGGCTTGCTCTTGGGTCTTGATAGTGTCTATGTGACATCAGGTGGCTATATAATCTGATGATTCTTATGAACTGAGTTATCTGGTCCTCCTAGAAAATGAGCTTTTTCACTAAGAGAAAGTGGTAGATACAGAAGAGGATCAGAGCCAGAACTTAAGCAATTTGCATTAGTAGGTTGCTCACACTTCTGAAATAACATTTTTTGGGGTGGATGGGTGGGTACTGGGACTTGAACTCGGACATTCAACTGCTCACCCACATTCCCAGCCCTATTTTGTACTTTATTTAGAGACAGGGTTTCACTGAGTTGTTTAAGTCCTCTCTGTTGCTGAGGCTGGCTTTGAACTCATGATCCTCCAGCCTCAGTCTCTGGAGCTGCTGCATGTGCCACTGTGCCCAGCTGAAGTAACATTTTTGATGCTCAATTTATATTTAGTGCTTAATGCTGAGTTCCATGTAACCAGTTGACTGAGAAAAAATATTTCAAAGTTTCATTACAAATGGCTTTGCTCAATAAATGAATCTATCAATGAGATGTTTTTAACATTGAGAGCCCATTACCAGAGGTCCTCAATGGACAGCAGAGGGGGAAAAATGTCCTCCTAAAGAACAAAATTTAGTTTATCTTGTACACTTCTTTTTTTGATATTGGGGATTGAATCCTGGGTTCAGCAACCACTGAGTCACATCCCCAGCCCTGTCTATTTTTTATTTTGAGACTGGGCCTTACTAAGTTGCTGAGGCTAGCCTCAAACTTGACATCCACCTGTTTCAGCCTCCCAAGTTACAGGGATTACAGGCATAGCCACCTGCCTGGCTCTTACACATTTTTTTTAAAAAATAACATTTACTTTTTTTTTTTTCAGTTTTTGTAGATGGACAGAATACCTTTGTTTGTTTTTACTTTCATGTAGTGTCAGGAATTGAACCCAGTGCCTCACACATACTAGGCAAGTGCTCTACCTCTGAGCCACAACCCTGGCTCCTCTTATAAATTTGATCTGAAAGGAGATATGGCTTGAGATAAAGATCTACAAACTTTCATGGGCAGTGGCTGTTTTAGTCAAAAGGTAAGGAACTGGGTATATAAGTGTTTTTCAAATAGTTCTTTGGAATAGGACTCCTCAAAGTGTCTCGAAAGCATGAGAACATTTGGGTCCCACTGAATGCTAAAAAAAAAAAAAAAGGCTCCCATTGCAGAAGAGCATTTAATTAGAACAAATGATTATTTTAATCATTGATTTCTAACAAATTACACAAAAATTCAGAGCTTCTGGCTTTACATCTTACATGAGGTTGCAGGCAAGCTGTTAGCTGGAGTTCTACTCTTATATGAAAGCATACTACTGGAGGGTCACCTGCCAAGTTCACTCATGTGTTTATCAAAATGATATAGTTCCTTGTGGATATTAGGACTGGAATCTTCTCTTAGTTCCTTGCTACATGGGCTTCTTCTCCAAATGTCATCTTACAATATGGCAGCTGATTTTCCAAAGAATGAATGGACTGAAGAGCAATAAAAATTCCTCAAAATGGAAGTGACAGTTTTCTTGTAGAGACATTCCACCACTTTTGCTGTACTTTCTCATTTAAAAAGGTAATTACAAAAGAGCTACCTACCGCAATGACCCACTCTGTGGACATCTATTAACTTCTTTCCTCCCCCGCAGCTGTGTTTGCTCAGTGACCCACTAACAAACCTGGCCATGGTGGCTAATGCAGAATCATGTACTTTTATCAGTCTTTCCCATGAGAGAACTGATTAGTTAGCACCACTACTTACCAACTAAAGTGGACAACTTGACCCCTGATCACGTATAAGGAAGATAGCTTGGGCGACAGGTCTGATTACAATGGAATCCTACTAACATGAATAAAGTAGCCATTTATTCTTATAGGAATAGAAAATTGTGCTGAGTTTGGGCTTCTTTCCCTGACCTACCCATCTTTTATATACGCCATTCCATCTGTGGAATTACTGAATACCTTATACTCTATACTGAATACAGCATCCCATACAACATTGTCTTTTACCAAAAAACTATATTTCATCCTCTAGAAGCTAGTCTTATACAATGATGTACAGCCCTATTGAAGGTTTAGTTTTGGAATTATATGAGAATACTAATTTTGGGGTGCTGTCCTAAAGGATTTATCATATGCTACAAATAAGTTTAGTTCTTGGTGATATCTCTTCTGTTGACAGAATGAGTCCAAAAAGCAAAGAGGGATCAACACCTCACTCTTATGTCTGAATTACTGACCATATATTTTGCTTTCCATTGTGGGGAGAGGAGATAATTTGCCATGTACCCTGAGTGTCCCAGCATATTATTGCCAAATGAGCCAAATTGCAAAGCTTATTTGTCTCCTAATACTGAGTACTAGTCACCTAAGTAGGCCAAGGTAGTCGTAGCATTATTATCACTTAATTGCCACTCTCCTTGAGGATAATCTGGCTTGCTTGCGGCTTTCTCAAAATCTGCTTGGTCTTTGTTCCTATATTCTTCTCCTGTAATGCAATCCACTATGTGTACAGCTGAACCTGGCTCTCTAAACCACACTGTGGGAACTGTGACTCTAGGAACTGATGCAAATATGCCGACATCTGATTATTACCTTGCTCTAATAAAGTTGTTTGTCTTTTACCCAGTAGCCTCCTGTTAGCATCCAAGAAACTGTAGCAGTATAAAATCTGAGAACTTTTACTGCTCTTGTCATCCATTTCCATGCTTTCATGTTCTGTTGGTATAGCAGTTTTTATACCTAACGGAATGCTCCCACAGGGGATATGATAACATTTTCTGTAAATTTGAAGTTGGCTGAATTGCACTCTTCCTGAGTTTGAGCAACTGGCTTGCTTTTAGCTTATTCCTCTAGGAAAGGAGGACAGAAAATGTGATTTTGGTGCTAACTGCAGTGACTGGCTCTGATGACCATGGAGAAAAGGGAATAGGGAGGAGTATGACTAGAACTCAGGAGATCTTCTAGAATATCTTCTCACAATATCATATCTTGTTGAATTGCAATTTTTTAAAAAATAGTTTTTTAGTTGTAGATAGACACACAATGTCTTTATTTTTATGTGGTGCTGAGGATCAACCCCAGTGTATCACACATGCAAGGCAAGTGCTTTACCACTGAGCTATAGCCCAAGCCCCTGAATTGCAAAATTTAAGCAGACTATTATAACTACATGTAGGCAAGACCACCCATATCATAGATCCTTGGGTTATTCACTACATAAAGAAATCTGATCAACTGAGGTGCTGTTTGAACTCAATAGGATAGGTGGCAGTAGTGAGAAATCATAACCACCTAGACTCATGACCAGAGAAAACTGTTTACCATATGTGTTTTTTATCAGAGACGTTTGAGACATGAAACATGCTACTACTCATATACTACCCTGAAAATTCTAATTCAGTTGGTATGTAATGGGGCCTCACAATTTCTATCTTTACAAATGTCTTGGGTCAGTCTCACCAAAAAAGCTTTTGTTACAAA